GTATTTATTGTAAAATATTTTTAATTTTATAAATAATGAAAGATGAGTTTTATATTATAATTTGTATTTATTATAAAATGTTTTTAATTTTATAAATAATAAATTTTTGGGTATAATGTATTTTTTTTTTATTGTAACGTTTTGGAGACACTCCGCGCAGAGTGGAGTGTTCCCAAAGGAACACTCCGTGCTGCGCGGAGTGATCTCTCGCGCAGCGCGGAACATAAAGGCGCCAAGATCACCCCGCGCAGCCCAAAGTGATCTATGCGCAGTCCAGAGCGTGGTCACTCCGAGCAGCTTGGAGTGATTCTGTCGAAAGAGTCGTGCTTTCTAAATTCAAAATTTTCATGTTCTTCGAGATATTAACAAATTTGAGATTCAGTAAATGTTCTTCGAGATATTAACAAACTTGAGGTTCAGTAAGAGGAGTTGTTCAACAGCTAGTGATAGATTCAATATTTTTTGGCCAAATGAAAATGATTGAGATTTGCATGAATAAGTTTTAGGTTTCATTTTAGCTTTGATATTCATATTATTGAAGAATCTGTTGGCTGATGAATTTGTATCCAAAATATTCTTTGAATTCCTCTACATTTTTTCTTATCCCAAGACATGGTGGAAGTGATGGATTGCGGTTAGTAAATGTGGATAGGTAGGTTTGGATAGTAGTTTGAATGTGGGTAGATAGATGTTGTTAACTACAATGTGGGTAGTTGAAATGTACAAATGTTTCATTTACTATTTATTTTTTTTCTCATTTTTTATTTTAATTAGAGAGAATATTTTAATTTTTTTTTGTTGGTGTTTTTTACTTATGAATTATTTTCTGTTTGTTCTGGATTTTGTAAAATCGTATTTTTTTTCTTTTATTTATATATGTAGAAGAGAGAGTTTGCATGAAAAGTAAAATTATATGTAATTGCTGATGTAAGTTTATGAAAATATTTATTGAATGAAATAATTGACGGTATAAATTAAAAAATTTGTTTAAAAGTTCATTTAAAAGCGAGGTAAGTAGACTTTGTTGAATAATTACAAAATGAAAAATGTGAGTTTATTGAACTTATGTTTTAAGATATGTAAAATTGAAGAGGAAACTATGTTTAAGTAATAGATAAATTGAAATATGTATTTAAAAAGGATATTTTTTATTCATAGTAAAATGATAGGATATAAGTGGTTAAACTGTTGAAGGTAATACGTATCTTGTTGGGAATTATCATGTTACATAATTCTTTCTATGTGAAATCATTTAGATCAATGAAACTAATTCTTCCTTTATCATATGTTATAATTATTAAGTTTATAAAAAAAGAAAATACTTTATCGTAACATAGTGTTTTCTTGATGAATTAAATATTTATATTTTAAAAGAAAGCAGAGGTGAATTTAGTTTTTTCCAAGCATGCAATTAAAAGAAAATGAATAAATTTATATTTTTTTTATTTTGTTAAATTATTTAGTTTTTTTAAATAAAAGAGAGAGTTTGCACAAAGAGTACAGTTATATAAACGATATAATTAATTACCAATTAACTATATAAACGAAACAGTTTGTTTAAAAGATTATTTAAAAGCTAGGTAAACTTTATTGGAACAAAGAAAAAAAGAAATTAATTTAAAAAATTAGAAAATGGAAAATGCAAGTATATTGAACTTGTGTTTTGATTACGTATTCGATTAAGCGAAATTGAGGAGGAGATAATATTTAACTAATAGATAAAGTAAAATATATGTATTTTACACAACTATTCTTTATCGATAGCAAAAGAAGTTTTAACTATTCTTTATTGATAGCAAAAGAAGTTTTATATATTAGTGTCAACCACGGGTCGAGTACAATTCTGTGATTTCACAGTATTTACATTTTTAACAACAAAAACATACCAAAATATCTAAAGCAACCTGTTCTATTTAGAAACCAAAATCATATAACTGAATCTAAGACTCATTATTCTACTAGAGATTTATAGATTATAGGTTGCTTGTAGAATCATAGAAGTGTCTACTGTTAGATTGTATATTATCCCAAAACAAAACGAACGTGAGTTGAGGTTTTATCCAGAGCTAAGGACATCAGCATCTTCAACGTGTTTATCAGTCTTCATTTTCTTCTTGGAACGAGTTTCGATTTTTTGGTCTCGAGTTTGAAAGAGAGCCCTCTTTGCATTTGGTGCAAGCACTTCGTTGGCGTTTGTAGAATCTTGATTATCTGTCATGCACATCTTCTCTTTACTTTTCGTAGATGTTTTGTTTGAACTATCATCAGTTGTTACAAGAGAAGAATCCAATTCTATGATTGTACTTGAAGAATCAATGTCAGTTGTTGTTGAAAAGTTGAATATGAAGATAATTTCATATCGGTCTTCAGGTGGATTTTGGCTTCTTAGTGTTACTTTTAGGTAAAAAAGCCGTTCTTCTTCGTTGTTAGTTCTTATGAGATCTTTTAGTTGTGTATCCATGTCCTGAAATATTAAAATTATACTCATTTAATATGATGAAGTAAATGCAAATAATTATTAAAAATTTAGTAGTATTTGGAGTTAACCTTTTCAAAATGGTTCATAATTTGGACGGCATTTGCTTCCAATAAAGTTTCTGCGGTTTCTCCTATTATGGTTGCATCCAAGCCTCCAGAGTTGTCTTCAATATGTACTAAAGCAGTTACCCTATATAGAGAAGTTAATTAAATTACATAGTAAGTTTTGTTAAATGAAGTGTTATTTTTAATAAATTTTTTCTTTGTTTGTTTCAATCCTGCATAAATAAAGCAAACAATGAAATGTGAGATTTACTACCGATATTTATAAAGTTAGAAAAATAGAAGAAATTTGTTAGTTCTATTCGATAACCATTCTTTGTAGTCTATGACAGCTACAATTACAGGATTAATGAAAAAAGTGCTGTTCACTTTTGTAGAGAGCGTAAGTCCTAAAAAAATAAAAAATTTCAATCATAAAGTTAGTGTTCATTTTACTTAAAATATAAATGTAAAGAAAATATTTTTTTTATTCTGTTTACCGTTGTACGAAGAAACTTTTAAATTAGTCACCCAAATGATTGGTTTGCTTCCAATGTTATCTATTATAGTAACGCACTCATTTTCAACAAAAGTATCCCACATCGTTAATATGATCGTCTGGAAAGACTTATCTATCAGCACAACATCTTGAAGACAGGCTTGTGTGCCAAACTGGGTCTGGATAATTCTTTTTTGACGAACTTCTATAACGACGCCTATAACACCTGCAAAAAAGAAGTTGTGTTGATATCATATTTTGTATATGATAAAATGAATATAAATAGAACGATTAAAAAATGTTAACTAAATTTATATTGGCTATAAGTTAATGTGTTTGTGATCATACTTATCTCTTCATTACTATCCATGTATCGTTCAAGTTTGTTGAATGTTGTGAGTTCATATCTCGAGAAGAGAAGGTTTAAATTATCCTCCTTAAATTCTTCTATCTTTGTCTTTACTGTTATGGTCCAAACTTTGTCTTCAAGCGAGCATTTGAACTCATTTCTGTTGTCTTTTACAGTTGCATTTGATAACATGTATGTTTTCCCTAGTGTTAGCTCATCTGCAAGGGCTGTAATATTTGTATCATAGATTATGGTAGTAACTTTGTTACCCTGTTCAAATGTAAAAATGAGTTCTATATAAATATATTACGAAAACAAATATTTAGAATAGAAATAAGAAGATATATATTTACCTCTAAATCCATTAAGAGAAGGTTTTGGTAGCGGCTAATGTTATTTCGAGCAATTTTAGGGGCTTGTTTTCCTGCAACTATGATTTTTGCAGTCCAATTCTTCTCAAAAGTGGAAATCTGTGGGATAAGTTTATAAAATGCGGCCATTCTTGATATCCTATGATTATGTGAAGAAGAAATTATTACACAAATAGTTACAGTTGTTAATATTACGTTAAATTTATCGTAAAAAAATGATATCAATTTTTTTAATTCTAAAAGTTTTTTATGAAATAATCTAACGTTCTTCTTTTGGATTAATAAAAGATAGTTATAGTAAAACGATAGTAACATGTAAAACTTACCAATAAGAAAACGAAAACGGAGTTTTTAAACTTTTGCAGTTGTAGTTGAAGAGTATGATGTTTACGATACTGTTGTAGAATTTTGATGCTGAAGGGGAAAGTAAAAGTAACATAAAATTATTTAGTCGAAAGCAGATATTAATAGATAGAACATGAGTAGAAGAATCTTTGTTTTAATATCCAACCATACACTTGGTCTGTAAAATATCTTTTTGTATGAATGAGAATTAAAGTGAAAGAAAAAGTTAATGATGGTTTATATGAAAAAGTTTTGGGTGGAAAGTTGGCACTATTTTTTTTCATTTGTATAATATCTATTTCACGTGTGTGTGTGTGTGTGTGTGTGTGTATAATTAATGATGGTTTATACGTTTAAAAGTTGTGCGTGGAAAGTAACGTACTATTTTTTTTCATTTGTAAAATATCTATTTCATGTAGATATATACTTAGAATTGAAAAGGCTTTTATAAAAAGTTGGTAGTTTTCTGTGTTAGTTTTTTACTGGTTCACGTGTTGATTTTGAAAAATATTACTTTATAATTTGCTAAAATTTAATACATTATGTTAGATTTACAAATTGGAAGAAGGATTGTTAATACATATGTTTCAAATACGAGTGCTTCATGCATAATACATTTAGTAAGTAACTTTATTTATTCCCTTTATTTATTAAGTAATTTTATCTATTCACGAACTTGTGGGGAGCTTAACTTATATTATCATAGGTGTTATCAGGTTAAATGTTATTATCGTTGTTGTTTGTCTTTTTTTCTTTATTTTCTGTTGGATTTATGTATTTTGAAAAACTATTGTGTTCACTTATTACATTAGTAAGAAGAAAATTCAATTTATGGTCGAAAAATGTATGAATTGTATGAAAAACATTAGTTTTTAATTAAGTGAAAGAGTAAATAGAAAACTTCAAACCCAGGACGTTGGAAAATATAATAAAGGATACTAAGGTTGAACCATCATTTATTATAAACAAAAATTTGTATTTCAGGTACTTGAATACATCACCATGGATGTACTTCCCCTTAGTTTCCTCTTCATCATCAGCTAACTTCTCATTGTCGGTTTACCTTACCACAAAAAAGACGATAAATAGATTAGATATAGGACGTCCAACGTTCATGCATTAATTGCCATAATGCATTCATTTAGGAAGGACCAGAGTTAAAATAACATAGACAAAAGGATGCAAAAAGTCAAAAAGTACATATTTGATATAATTGACTGAATTTCTTATCTAAAGTTATGTTAACTGAAGACATGAACGAATGAAGATAGCAGATTTTATCCCTTGTTTGCGACAACATCAAGCATGACATGAAGATTATATGAAACGTAAAGCAGTCCAAACTATTATAGAAAAGAGTTAGAAGATATTTAGAAAATTTATATGTATGGTTTAATATCTATTGCAATAATCAACTTCTTATTTGTCAAAGAATATAAGTCATTTCTAACCTGAAGAAACCTAGAAAGGTAAAAAAATGTCAATGCTGAATTAGATATAATAGTGACAAGGCAAGGCGAAAATTAGCCAAATTGATCTTCACACATACTAAACCAGCGATCACTAAATTTCACTAATACTCTGTCTAATATTCTACAAATAATAAATTGAAATTACATAACATTTCAAAGAGAAATGCCGTACGCGAATTATACTTACAAATGTTTCAATTCCTATAGATTATTTTGAATTAATTTCAACAATTCAGAAGAAGAAGAAGAAGAGAAATTAGGGCTAGCTAATGTTTTTTTTTTTAAGGTGGAATTATGAATTAAAGTTTTCGGTAGCAGATTGTTTTTGGCTAGAGAAGAATATATATCGTATAAAAAAAATTATTAGACCCTTAGTATAAGAATTACTTTGCCAGATGGATTTGGAGATACGATGGAAAACACTTAAAATGCTTCCTAGATGAACAGTAGACGTAAGATTCCATTTTTTTAAAAAGTAGGAATGTAAAGAATAAGCATCTTGAAAATTTATCTTTTCATATGTTCATCATTTGATTAATAAAAATTGAAAATATCATATACTAAGAAACATAACAATATAGCATAATGCAAGGAAACATATCATCATATAATTCAATCCAAATTCCATCTTTGCATATTTATCAGCATTGAAAGTGAATATATTTTCGACCATGTAAGATTAATCGTCTTTAGATATAGGATGACTGTAATCCTACTCTGAAAAAATAACATTGTTAGTTAGAATTTAGATTAATAATAAAATTAGTAAAAAATTTTTATTAAGTTTCCCATAAAATCAATTCATGCATTGATAAAGAAATATGTAATGTATATATAATAAAAATAGTTGCTCACAAAATTTTTTGTTCACCGAACAAAGTTAGATGATTAAATAGGAAAGCGTTAATGTACACACACCAGTTTTGTATATTCTATCAAGAAGAATAATGTTAAATTCACTCAAATATTTCCTAACGTTGCACGAAGTAAAGGGAAAGCATAAAATGTTCATTAAATTCTAAAAGAGCATCAAACCATCTCTATGTAAAACTTAATTAGAACAAGGAATATTATTGGACTATCGAAATTAAAAGAAACTTATGTATTATTGATCTTATTGTATAAAATCAACAAAATTCAAATATATAACATTAACATATTTTTAGTTCAAGATGATTTGTTGAAATTGAACATTTCATGATTCACTTGCATAAATGAGATTTATTGACCAATTGAAACATAGTTTAAACAAAAGGGAAAAATATAAAATATGATTAGATTGTAACGTACCAAGTAGGTCATGACATTGCCAAGAGTTGGGTTTTATGGTCAAATTTATGAAAACACCTTGCCCCATAACTACCACAAGCATTGCATGGCTCTGATTTATCTAAGCTTCAGTTGTAAGCTTCTGTACCAAGTTCTCACCTATTTTCATATTCCCAAATTTTACAATTTGATTTCCAAGCTGTAAGCCATCTGCTGCTGCTAAAGATCCTTTTGTAATTTCATCAACCATTGCGAAAGGTCTGCTAGAGCGAACAACTACCCCCATGTCCATACTATTATTACCTCCAGCAACAGGATTGCTAAAAGACGTAGGTGTGCTTAAATTAACACCATGTTGAGCATTTAATCCTGCAACCACACCTAGAGAAATTAAGATAATGCTTTAAGTAGCTTGCATAAAGTAGTGTATTAGATTAATTCATTATAAAAGCAAAAAATCAGATTATAAATAGCTGATGACAAAGTCATAAATCGTATTTTACACATCATTTGTAAGCAATTAAAGTGCAATTCCGTTAGTGTACAAGTGGAACCAGCAAGAAGCAGAAGCAGCAAAATGATTTCAATAAACTATGAGCTTCAAAAGGAAAATCAAGCATTAGTCTTCCTATTGATAGAATTACAGTAGCATAAAACTGTCCAAGAATCAGAACGTATGATGCACAAAGGGCAGACAAATTATATTTAAGACTTAAATTTAGGGAACTTATAATATTCGTAGAGAAACTAATGTTTAACAAATCTATCTCACAAACTAATTGACATCAATTAGATTATTAAAAGAAAATCAAAAGGATTAGAAATCCAGTTGAATCAATCAAGATTTAGAACACCATAACAAATCAACATAATTGAATTAAATCCTCATCAACAACTCAAAAGGTTTCCGAAAACTAAACTAAAAAAGAAAATTATTGGCTACAACGTTCTTCCTCTTCTTTTTCGTTATTAATATGTGCTTCTTTATCAAATAAGTTTGACAGCCTTCGATTCTTCTGCCATTTACTACAGTGACCATCGTCGTCCTATACTCTTCATTATCACCTTCCTCCACTAACTCGAAAAGAAAAAAAGAAGAAGAAGAAGAGCTAGGCCCTTACCGTAAACAAAAGTTGAATAATAGAAAAAGCCTCCTTCTTCCATTGTCAAGAACATAGACAGTGTATTTCAAGTGTACCTCAAATGGATCTCTCCTTCAGCCGTCGGGTTGCAAAATCTAAAAGTTTGAGAACAAGGGCAAGAGTTTTGAGAAAGCAAGCCAGAGTTTTGTTTAGGGTTAAGAAAGGAGATTCTGTTTCATTTATTCAAAAAAAATGTGAACTGTAGAAAAAACGGTTGTGGAACAGTGGGTGTAAACGGCTGTGATATAAATGAACAGTAATATAAACCCCCTCTTTTAAGAGGTAGTAGAAATAGTATTAATTACATATATCTTAAATGTGAAAGACTGTAAAATATATGAGGGGAAACAACTTGAAGTTGATAATAAGGGAATCTGAAATTGAGTTTCCATAAAATCCATAATTATACTAATTTTTTTTTTTTTTTTTTTGACAAAGTTGAACATTGTAATAATTGGCATAAGAGCACATTTTAACTGATGGAAGAATATTTATGTGACAATGTGAAACTCTTAAGGGTAAATATATTTTAAAAATAGAGAAATTACTTTTTATTTTGAAATTTTACTAAAGTAAATTAGTTATCGATCTGGCAAACTGTTAAACTAACACTAAAAAATTTGAATCATACCTTTTGCAAACGCAGGTTGTAATTGAAGCTGTCATTAGTGATTCTATTATACACATGTAGCAAAGAATTAAAAAGAACTTTTCATTCCCGATAATGAAACCTGTGAAATTTTTTTATAGCAAATGCAAAGAATGAAAAAAATAGTAACGACATAATTTTTCATGTATTTAAAATTGAGGAAACTATTGTACGAGAACATATTATAAAAATTTCTCAAAGATAAAAAATATACCTGTTCAAACATTTTAGGTATATGAATGTATAAACGAAAGAATTTCCTTGTACACAACATTTTTAGTACATGTATTATGTGAGTTGTCCATGCTTGACGGTTTCAATAAAACTTTTAGAGATGTGCTCGTTGTTGCTCTTGATAATGCTACATATAGCTGACCATGGCAGAAAACTGGTTCTGGAAGATATAGACCGACAAAATCAAGTGTTTGACCTTGTGCTTTATTTATTGTCATTGCAAAACACAGTCTAATTGGAAATTGAGTTCTCTTAAATTGAATTGAGTTTCGATCACTTTGAAGAGGTATAAAAGGGATCATTGGTAAGAAAACATATTTCCCACAATACTCACCAGTTGTAATTTCAACAAGAATTACGTTTTTCTCAAATTTTCGACAAGTAAGGCGTGTTCCATTGCATAATCCTTCGGAAGGATTAATATTCCGTAATAACATTACAGGACAATTTACCTTAAGTTTCAATTCATGCGGTGGAATACCATTTGGTGTCAAAGTATTCAAGAAATCTTCGTGCAAGCTTTGTTCTGATTTGTCAATTGCTTCATCAAAACTATAGTATGTGGAAAAATCACCGGGAATTTGTTCGAGTAAAATCTTGTTATTATATAATCAACACATTCATTCGTAGGTGTAAGAATAACTCTATTTATCATATTATGTAAATTGTCAACATATGCCTGTATATTTGGAAAAACATGATGTATCAAAATTTTTAAAGATGTGATTTCATCTTCAAATGGTAGAATTATACTATTCGGAAGCATAATGCACTTACAAGTATGTTCTTCTTTTGTTCCATTTCCAATTCTGAGTAAGTAAGTGCAGAACATAGGATCTGATTTTGCCCTCATATTCTCAACCAATGGTAAACGTAAATAGGAAGGCCATAGGTCTGAAAAGACCAAG